GTGATGGATCATCCTAAAATCGCCGTTGGGGCGGGGCGGGGGCAGGAGAGGCGGGCATCCCTCTCTCTGAAGCCGGACGGGGACGACCAAAGGTAAAGGAAGGACGGACTGAAGTCGATGCTGATGTTGATGCTGGAGGGGTAGCTAGGCCCTCGGTGTCGGAGGGAGAGGTAGAGGTAGAAGCTGAGGGGGATGTTGAGACTGGGGTGTGGCCGCCTGGGCCTGGGGAGAGGCGGCGGGTGAGATGGTGCATGTTCAGGGGGGTGGACATGGACATGGACATGGCCACGGGCATGGTGGGCGTTGAGGTGTCTTCATCGACTTCCTCTGTGCCAGTGCCGTCCTTGGAAGACACGCCTGATCGTCTAGACTTTGTTGAGCCGAACTAGACCAGTTAGTTAGAAATAGTTAAAGTAAGGAGCAAAGGGGATAGACATACGAAGCAGTATCGGTCAACTAGCTCCTTGTAGACCTGGGACTGGTGGTTGGGTCTGTCAGATAGGAAGTCGGAAAGTCTCTTCTCGCCGACGGGGGAAGGGGACTCGTCGGAGTCGCTGGGAGTGCTGGGGCTGCCTGCACTGGCACTGGTACTGCTGCTCTCAACCATGTTCAGCTGCGGCATGGAGTGGCTGTGTTTATGACCGTATCGAGCAGGGCCTGAACCAGTACCACCACCACCACCACCACCAGACGAGGAGGTAGTCAGAGAGGCAGAAAAGTCATATCTGTCTCCAAACACGTTGGTGCGTAGCTTGTTCTTCCTGGTAGGCGAGTCAGGGTCCGGGAACCAGCCTTCCTTCTCCGAGTCGACGTCCACGTCTGAATCACCGGGCTTCGAAGCCGTGATTTCAAACTGTGTCTGCTGCTTTACAGCGACCTTAACGTTGTCAGGCAGGGCGATAGGCATGTTCATGGGCAAGTTCATGCCCATGGCCACCATCGACAACGGCTTTGCCCGGCCTCCTCTCGCGTTCTTCGCCTTGGCCATACGGGCCCTGAACAGCGGATCTCTACCAACTGATCCACTGGAGCCAGAAGTAGAGTTGTTAGAGGTCCGTCGTGAAAAGACAATCTGATAGTTCATGTCGTCGTTGTTGTCCCAGAACTCCCGTCCGCCGACGTTATACCGCAGACACAGGAAGAGAGTCTTATTCTGCATCCCGTGTCTGAGCTGGTCGGCCAGTTCGATCGAGAAGCTGAAGGTGTCGAAGCCTACTCGCTCGTCTCGGTCGATGCAAGGAGCGTCAGCATGCACGTATTCGGCCGTGACTTCGGAGACGGTCTTCCAGTTATCCAGCGTGAAGCGGGCAGAGACGTGCTTGGAGTAACAGATGTTGGCCACTGCTACTGTGCCGAGCAGGGCGTGGGTATCAGGGCAGAGCTGGATACGACGGAGCCGAACTGGCTTGTTCAGGCGGGCGTCGTCCAGCATGCTGGGGAAATTGGTCACTCTGGCCTCCCAGTGGTCCTTGCTGGGCGTTGATAGTACAGAAGAGGAAGAGCATGCTGCGTTGGAGCAAGTGAAAGGGAACTCGGTGTCTCCGTCATATTCCTCGACGGGAGAAGATCCAGCACTGACGGCCAGGGGACGGTCGAGCTGCATGAAGTGACGGACTTCTTCCAGCTGGGCCCCAAAGTGCACTGCTTTGGAGAAAGTGGGTGTTCCGGGCATGCTGAGCGGCCTGCCCTGGCGTAGTCTAATGGCTGGCCGGACCAGCTCACCGGACTTTTTGCGGAGCATGGGTGGCTTCTGGACCATCTCTTCTTCGTCCTGGTCACTCTGCTCGGGGGTCTGGGTAGCCTGTTCCGGCACAGAATAGATCAGTATCCCCTTTCCACTGCCGTCGTTCGTCTTATCTGCAGTAGAAGTTGATGTGGTTGTAGATGATGATGATGATGTCCCCTGGGCCTGCAGCTTCTGCTCT